GTAGAAACTGATCCAATTCTTGAAAACGATGGCGATCAGGGTTCCTTTTAATTTTTAGATTTTCTGGCTTTTCAAAGAATCCAGCACAAGGCGGATTTTAGCTGAATCGAAAGCCTGCTTGAAATCGATGATTGCCAGAAAGAGAGGAAGCAAGTATTCGTGGTTGCTTGTCTGAAATGCATGCTGTACCACCTGAGATGATTCATCGTATTGAATCCACTTCTGGATCCTGCCAGCTCCCGGGATTTTGCGATGTCGAGATTTACTTGAAGTCCGCTCATCAGTGACTGCCTTAAAATCATCTACATTGAAGTCCTTTACATCCTCCATGTCTTCCGCTTGATGCAATAGAATCACTGATGCGGTGGTCAGATCTTCTGGAATTTTCAGTTCTTTCCGACACGAAGAAAACAACCTTGCATATATCTTGGTCAATGCCTTACATCGTGATTCCACAAGTTCCACCGTAATGCCGTTTTCGCCATGATGTCTTCCTCGCTTTGACTGTTCGGCTACAAAATGCGCTTCTGCAAAATGTATGGAATTTCGTAAAGCTCCTAGGAGAGAAATTAACCAATGGCATCTAATTAAAGATTAATTACTTACGATTAATCAATGAAATAAAGGATGCTACCTCATAATTGTCATATGACTGCAGTTACCTGTAACAATCTTTATTATTGTGCTGATGCTGACCTGGTGCGCGTAGTTAAAACGCATCGGTAAACGCACGACTTTATATTCTTTTCAGTTGTTTCCTTGACCATGATTTGAGAAATGAAAACTGTTAAAGGTGATGAATACCTTTGGAGGCCATGTTTCTGAACCACTGCACATACAGTTTAGACTTCTTCTCAAGCTGGAACAGTTTTAAAAGAAAACAAACTGGCAATCACTCTCTGAGTCGTGCGAGTCAATTAAACCAAAATCTAGGACGCGCATGTTATTTTCATGCAATCCTCATTTAAACGCTACGTTGCTGCCTTAAACAATGTAATCTGCTTCGTGTCTTCCACTTAGACAGATATTCAAAATGGATTTATGGATCTTTCATGCCGTCTGTTAAAAACATCTTTCTTGTGAAGCAAATCTTTTCGCAGTTCAATTAATCGATCAGGAGATCTGTTACTTCGAGTGCAAGCAAAGGTACGAACAAAGTGGAACTGAAATGAATCATTTTCCTCACTAAAGGTCCTTCTATTCTTCCTAAGTCCTTATTCCTTTACTTCAAACTAGTAGGAGGGAATAAATGGTTCCACAGACGATGCACCGCTCAGCCCATAGATCCTGACGGGATCGAGTATGTCACAAGATGTGCGAAATATAGCAGGCCACGTGAAAGTGTGAACTCTTACCAACCTTCCTGACCAGTTTAGTGAGCTTTGGAAAAATCGTCCAAGACGAACTGTTGGCTGAACCATTGGCCATGGCCATATCACGGATAGACCTCCTCCGTAATTTTCTCTCAAAGAAGATATTCTTTGGCTAAATCGTGAAAGCTTAAGCCTGAACGAAATTAATTATGTATGCTGCATGCGCATCCGTTTTGAAAATAATCTTAGTCACCAAGTTATGGTCCTATCGTCGTCTCGATATTGCCAAGGCGCACAGATTGAAAACAATTTGTCAAGGGTCACGTTTACATTTTTATATGAGCATATTCGTCATGTGTGTAATGGTCGAAGGTCATTCAAGTTCACAACCTCTGTCATATGGTTTTCAATCGTTTGACAAGGCCATATATTTTCATGGTTCTTCAACAGGATGACAGCAGTCACATGAACTTTGACAAATCGCATGGCCGCAAGAAACGGCTCAGATGACATCGAAGGTTTTTCGAATGAAACGTGTATCCGAGCAACGTGATCTGCCCATCCTCTACGTCTGAACTGCACGCTTGATTACGGCAAATGGCAAAAATGACAGAAGTAGAACGGCGCTTTCCAAATTTAGACCGTTCGGCCAAGAACACGTTGAGGATGGCATACACGTCATGAACTGTATAGGGTCACAAATCATATGCGCAAAAAACAGCTGAAAAGGAAAACTTCAACGAACTAATGAAACAGAAAATAATTTCCAAAGGTTTTCGCCTAAGAAAAGTCTAGCAGAGTCAATAAGAGGCTAACAAAAAGTAGTGATCAACAAGACAATTACTCCAGAGCAGATTTCGTATGTAATGAATCACGAAAGAATTAGTCGATTAGTGTTTGAGGTGCCGACTAAATACGGTATGTAACTCAGTGAACAAACTAATTGGCCTCTTGGTGAATACAAGTGCGCTGCCAAAGCGAAAAAACCTTCAACTGTATTCCGCATGAGTTGCTCCTCTGGGAGCAATGGTAACGGAGAAACCAGGATAAAATTCAAGATCAGGCAAAGGGAACATATGACTTATGTCAGCAGAGTAGAAAAAATATCTTCGTTCAAGAAACCCGCAAGAATCATGCGATTCAAAGTCGCACTACCAGGAAAGAAATTATTTCAGCAAAAACGAAGACCTTCAAATGCAGAATAGCACAAGAACATGAGAATGATGAATTGACAAAAAGAAACGTAGGTAGCTAGTTCAGCATTGGCAACACCGCATGTGTCTGTCGAAATCATCACCTTGAGATGCTTGCATTAGCTGAACGTCTGTAGTTTTTGACATCCACTATATGAGCAGTTTTTCAATATTTTTGTAGTAAGGCACCAGTCACCGTATCGCAGAAGTAGTGTTCCTCTCTGAACACAGATCTGTCTCCGCCTTCTTAATGCGTGACACACGTTGGCTTCCTGGTCGAGTATGCAATGTTGCAGCTCAAATAGACGAAGCTTGTGGGCTGAGGTAAATGGATTATACTCAACCAGTTTGTTTAAGAGGTGCAGCCTTTTTTCCTACATCGCCAAATCTACTGGAGCCACCTGTGCAAAGAAGGGAATAGAGTCATACCTTAAGTACTGCTTAGGAGCAAACGCTGCTCAGTGGAGTTGGTCTGCCGTTCTTTTTTCTTCCTTGGAACAACTTTTCCATGCGATATATAATACTGACCTGACAGAGGCAAAGTACAGAGATTTTTTTGGAAGGAGCTAATTCCCTTCTCAACCCAATGTAGCATAGATTTTCAAAAGTACTCGAGGCCAGGGCGTTCCTATTATTTAAATCTTACTGGATGCTGGCAGTATCAAAGATGATGTAGCCCAGATGCCCAAATTGGCCAATCCTCTCAATCTGGGTTATACCATGTGTTAGCAAAATTTCTGACTTCACAACTCTTGTTCCATTCTTACTTGTCGATCCACGGTGTGAGACATAAAAGTGATTACGAGGAGTTTCGTTTATCACGTTTTTCCCTATGATACTAGCGCGTAACACTTATTCATTTGCGGCTTACGCTTTATACTACAGTATGTTAGTAGTTGTCCTCAAGATCATCGCTGAGATAATGAGTATTGGACTTAAAAGATTGAGTTTTTTCATAGGAAACATCAGCCGCCTGCAATCCATTTTTGGCACTAATCACAGAATACGTGCAACCCCTTCCCAGAGCAAAGCATACAATCGTATAAGAGAACGAACTAAAAGTTGTTCATGTCCAAGAACCACTACGGCTACTTTGAAGGTCTGCGAGGAAGCGTGAAACAACGGGTTAACAAGGCATTAATACTAGTGGTTGACAGAACCTCCTACTTCGATGCGGACTGTAAGTGACCGCTCCGATACACTGAGGCTGTAATATAACCAGTCACTCACCAAAGACACTTGTCCATGATCAAGATCTCATGAAGTTCAGTGCTCCACATCTCTGAATCGGTTGGGCTGGATGAAGGATGGGAAACGTGAACAATAGTTCAGGAGGCTAAACATCCAAAAGGACTGATGAGCAACTGATTACAAAGAAGGCGCTGCAAAAAGGAGAAGATTTGAGGAACCTCGACATGCGCTTGTGCCGCGCTCACAACGTGAACAATTGTGATGAGGATTGACAGATGTCCCTATGATTTGCATGGTAGCTCTGAC